GCCCAGATGCAAAATTTCCTCACCATCTCTTAATATAGCAGTGGAAGGAAGGGAAGGAAATGTATTGCCACAGGTGCCACCATCTGCTCCCCAGTCTGAAAGGGGAACTTTGTTTTGGAGCTTTATTAGCCCATTCCACCCCCCACTTTCTGAAATGAAGCATTCTGTTGTTTGCTGGACTTTGATATACTTCAGTGCCAAAGATGAGAAGTGGGCAAATAAGTAAAATGAGCTCAGGAAGGTTTCTGAAGGCACAAAGAGGAGGCAGGCACCAAACTTCCATCACGCTTCCCACGGGAGCTCTGCAACAAGGTACTCTTTGTGGGTCTACCTTAATTTTTTCTTATCTTAAATTAAATGAAGCTAGATTGTTGTGTGTCCCTACGACAAACCTGCTTCCCTGAAAAATGGTCCCCTCGCTACACCTTTCTAGAGGCTAAGCCACCACTCACTGTCTGCGGTGAATCACACTGAAATGTCATTAGCTAAAGGAACAAAGTCCAGTTTGATTAAAACCTATGCCAGGTAGGCAACTAGGGTCCTAAATAACAAGCTTGGTATGCCTCTGCATGTGGCTAAAATGAGTTACAACAAGGCCCTCAGATGGGCTGGAGTTGAATCTACGGGTGTAGTGAATCTACGGGTGTAGTCACCTCTACCACGTTTTCCATCAATTCCCCAATTTCCATCAAGTTCAACTTCTGGTCAGTCCTCTAGCCCTGAAGCCTCACTAATCCAGCACAGCAATCATTCAGCTCCCTCCCTAGGGTCTCCTCTGAAGAAGGCAAAATCACAAAACCCCCTCCATGGCCTAGCAGCAGAGTTTCTGGGAGCCAGAGGTTGCAGCTGACTAACGTCAGGGCGGCTGAGGAAGGAGAGCTGCTCATCACACTAGCACAGCTGGCACCGTGCAGAGGGACATATTTTTAAAGCAAGAGCACAGTCTTTTATAATCTAGCATAAAGCATAGATGCCATCCTGCCTGCAGGCCAGAAGATATTAGACAGTTTTTATACTGACCGAGCACACATTATTTTATAGGAATATTGGCACTGCTATGCACGTGTGTGTGTGGTGGGGGAGTGCTTTTCTTTGTCCTTGCTGACTGTGGCCTGTGCGCTGACTGCTCATTCCTGTTTGGAGTTTAGAGGTCGAAAAAGCCACGAAAAATTATTAAGATGAAATACTGACTAACCATTTTAAACACCATGTCAAAAAATCCCAAACCAATAAATGCTAACTTGACAGAGAGGGATGCAGAAAATGGAGCAGAGTCAGAGTCATCAAGTTGATTACAATTTGTTGCCATAAAGATTAAAGTGAAAACCCATAAAAGAGCTCTCACTCAGCGTGTAAAAAAAGTAAGTAAATGAAGGATAACTAAAAGTTAAGTCTGTATAATATTAAACTGATTAAAGATATCAGACGCTTTCAAAGTACTTGTGCCAGAGAGCAGAAGGCAGGACCCGGAATTCAGCTTCCAAGACGGCAAAGGATCCAGTGGTTCACATTACAGCTGCATTTTAGTATTTTCTTCAGTATAAAGCACCTCAATCTTCTTGTCAGGAGGAGATTATCAGCGGAGGACAGGATACATGCACTTTGTTCTTCAGGACTCTGATCTCCACCACATTCTGTTGTCCTATCTCCAGTCCCTGAGACAGATAGGTCTCTCCTCCAGGAGACCTCTTTCACTTTAGTCGATACAACTTTCTTCACTCAGGCATCAAGAATTGCCCGCATGCGGGCTGAGAGCCTTCCTCAGTATAGCACTTTCTCAGTGACCAAAATCCCACTCAGCCTACAAAAGAAGAGATTAGGGGTCTTCTAGGCTCTCCCTTCCATTCCGTCCCCGTACCACGTGATTGCCCCCAGTAGGGTCTCAGTTCCCCATATCCCCAGGGTTACCCTCAGCCCATTCCCTCTGCCCTCCCGTTCCCCTGCATCTCGGTTGCCCCCGACGTTTCCTTAAGCCCTTTTCCCTCCTGTATCCTCAGACAACGCAAGCGTTTTGGGCTTTCTGTGTGCCGACCGGCCAGCCAGCAGCCTGGTTCATAACACAAAGAACCGATTCACCCACAACACGCTGTTTTGCTCAGTGCAGTGAGTTTGTCTCCTCTGCGCCACCTGGATTTTTTAGAAACATGGAAGAGCTAAATAGCACTGAGGACTTTGCTGCTTTGTCAAATTTGTCTGGAATCGATCAAACGGCTCTGAAGTCCCTAGGAAGGAACTGGCAAGACAGCACAATGCCCAGGGGAACAAAAACACCTGCATGAGGTCCCCTGGTCAGGCCTTACGTGTCTACTATGTCTACCCTGTTTTTTTTTTCTGCGGCTAATTTACTTTAAGTCAAGACTGCTAAGTCCTGTAGAAGCAAGCGTTACAAACCTGAGTTTGTAATGTCTAACCTATACATCTATATGTCAGTGCTTGCTAGACACAGAGGATATTCTCAAATGTGAGTTTTGAGAAGGGGGGGGGGAGTTTTTAGTAAAGTAAATGTTAACGCTGGCAAAATTCTGAGTTTTCCATCTTAGATGCCATATTTCTACAAAAACAAATACATAACGAAATGCAATACCTGTCAAGCAGCAAGCCACTCTGAATTCTCCAAGGACAATGAATTTTGACAAAATACTCCTCAGTTTCACAGTCTTCCCCTGTCTCAGGAGAAATTTGGCAAAGCTTATCCCAATTCCACAAGACATCTGTTCATTCCCATAAAAAAAAGCATGCTGGAATGGTTTGCCAGCCAAGATATTACCTTCCAAGAAACCAAGGCTCTTTTAAATAAAGTTCATGTGAGACAATAGTTGTAGGGAGTTCAATTTCATCACCTCTCTCTGTTCTCATAGCAGCCCCAATGGATTGGGCATGAATCCATAGCTGGGGATTGGATTCACACGTTACAGAGCATCCACCCGAAGTGCACAGCACACGTTGCTTTCTTCCAGGAAGGTTTGTGCGCTGTTATCCTCATGTTACCCCAGAGCTGGGCAGGCTCAGGCATCAGACGTGCCTGCACCTGCACCAGTGAACGGAGGTGCCCGCAATTCCCCCACGTGAAACTTTTTCTCCTCTGTGTGCTGAGTCCAGAACCATGTCAGGACTGGCAGGAAGCACAGAAGTCACTGTCCGGCCCTTCCCTCCATCTGTAGGTCACTGGGAAGCTGCACAGGTCCAGCCCAAGGGCAGGATCAGGGAGATCATCATGGAACTTCTCACCTCCAATGCAGAGGGACTGTTTTTACCAGCATGACTCGTGGCAACAGCGCCCTGCAGACATGAAGAGGCTTTCCCCACGCTGGCTAGACCCACTGAAAACAGGCTTATCTCTCCTGAAATCAAACAGCAAGGAGATGGGAACACGATGCGCAGTGCCCAGACCAGAGAACAGCACTAATTGCTGGCCTAGGGCATGAGGCTAGGAGCAAGGGAAGCTTTTGCACTTTTTCCTCCGAGGTCTGCATGAAATCTTTTCGAAAGATGGGAGGGTTTCTTTAATATCAACTCAGTGTGGCGCAGGGAGAACTCTTTCCTCACGGGAGATACATGGTGCATTGCAGGAGGAAGGGGAAGGAGTGACATGAAGAAGGGGTTTGAGATGGAGGGATGGCTAAAGAACTGCCAAGGATGTGGGACCTGAGGTGGGACCCTCCTGGTGGGAGACTCCGGAGCAGAGGCACCATGGAGTTCAAAGACACACGTGTGGCTGCAGCTCCATCACAGATGGCTTAGGGCTGTCCTGGCATGTGCTCCCAGCTTGGGGAGAGCCAAAGGGAAAGGTGACTGCCTGAGGTTGCTGCCAGGCATGACTGGCAAAGGTGACTGCGAAAAGAAAAATACTATGGGGCAATGGAAACAACTGTGAAGGATAATATTCTGTGAAAGCTGAAGTGGCTCCCTGGGCTCACAAGTATTTCACTGAGGGGAAATTGGGCTGTGCTTAGAGCAGTATTTTAGCCACATCTATTCCTTCAGCATCACAGATGCAGGCAACGTCCCACCACATGATTACTGGGAATTATACAGAGAGGGACCAAAGGAGCAGAAATACAGTGACATCCCCCGAGTCACTAGGGATGGGCTGCCCCTTACCAATCCTGATACCTAATGAAATCACAGTAGAGAGAATCCTGATGATACCAGAAGGATTTGTGGAGGTGAGGAGGTAATGTTGTCATCCAGGTTGGTTTAGATTCAACTCTGAAGGAGGGGTGGGAGGTAGGGCAACTGCCTGAGACCATGAGGGATGACAGAGGATTTGCATCGAGCTGACTGTGAAATGATGTGATGCACTTTCCTGAAAGAAAGGAAGGAGCAGCATCAGAAACTCAGCTGGTGTTGGGGCTTCTGATGTAGGTAATGTGAGGCAGAAAGGAGTGGAGGACACTGGTGCTCAGTGAAAGAGATGCTATTAAACATCAGACGATCCTGATGTTGAGGAAGGGCAGACAGCATAGCAAGAGGCCATTGCAGCTGCATCCAGATGCCTGCAAGGGTTGCAGAATCAAAAAGGAGGTTTAAAAAGGGAGGAAACACAGGCACGCATCTGAGGGCAGGAATAAAGGAACAGCACACCCCACAGACAGGCTAAGGCAGCAGCATAGCTTACCGCTGTCAAGCGACTCAAAACTAGTATTAGAAGTATTTGTAAATGCATCAAAAATGAGAGAAGGGCAAAAGGCAAGTGCTGGTTATTAGCAGGAAGGAAAACTAATACCAGAAACCCTGGTAAAGACTGAAGTGTCCAGAACCTTATGGTTCAATCTTCACAAAAGTTAATTTTAACCATATTCTGAATGAAACCAATGCCTGAAACAAAGGAAAAGCCATTTCTGAACATCTACTTAGAAAATAAGTGCAATTAAGTAGCACTATTGCAGAAGAATTTTACAAAATATTTTGATGGTTTTAAGAATATTTTAATCAATATAGTCTGTATTATTTTCTAATTTCCTACAACAATTTATTTATTTTATGAGCACTTATTTATGTTAAAGATATTTATTCAGCCAGTTGATCATATCCTGTCTTCCTTCCTCAATATAAGGTTTATCCTGAGGATTGATATCTTCTCTTCTGCGATGTACAAACCCATGTGTCTGTCCAGGGTATATTTTAACTTCATAATCAACTTTACAGTTTTGTTTAAGCTTCTGCTCCAGTAGGGCGACCTGTAACACAGAATGTTCTACGTTGGCCGAGTATGGAGTTAACATGTTATGTATTTACAGCCCTCAAATTGTCCTGGTTTTTTACTTTTCTGGAAGACAGACACAGTGTGTCCTTGCCATTGTTTTTTCTTCCACTAATTTTATACCCAAACGCATTTCTGTTACTACACCTTCTTTATTTAACTAAGCTTTTTTCTCCAGTAAAATAACAGCATGTGACTGTATAAAACTGAAAAAAAAAGTATATGGGTTACTGTAATAATACCTGTAGTGATAAAAACAATGTGTCATGAGAAGGTTAGCATGTGGTGATCACTGTACAAGTTACTGCTGATAGACTTCACACAAAAAAAAAAAAAAAGAAATAGTGCAAGATTCTGAATTAATTTGAAATTGAGGGAGGAGAGGCACAGATACAAAATCATCAGTTCAAAGCTACTGACACTTTTGGTGGGAAAAGTAAAGCCAACGCCACTCAATGAAAGCGTGTCTTCTTCTTTGATTCCCTTGGTAGATACTCCTCTTTCTCCAGTCACTCTCCACCCACCTGCCCCCCAGGAAGGCTGTTGACAGAGTACCAGAAAGGAGAATCTCTGAAGGCCAGTAGGAGAAGGAAAAGCATGGTCACAGGATTTTTTAATCCTCCTGCAACTAGTGATTCCACTGATACAGGTGGGGACTTTCTGCTGATTTTATGCATCATCAGTATGATTAAAGAGGGCCTCCTATCTTAAACTTGACAGAAATCTTCCTTTGGATTCTTGCCCTTTTCCTCCTGGGAACTCTCATATATAAATCATCCATATTTTGCAACAGAAACAGAAAACATTTTTTAGCATCACTGTAAAACTTTTTGATTTGGGAATAAACAACTTAGGTTTGTGTAGAACTACTGTAAGAGTCAGTGTAAGAGGAAGAAAAGTGCCAATTAGTTTTCTATATTCACTTAATTACATATCAAATTACAAAACAAGCATGAAAAGCATTAAAAGGACAAATATCTCTGATGGGAAATTCACCTGCTCCAACGGGATGTACTCATCCTTTTCAGCAAAAATGAAGAAGGTGGGATGAAGCAAACTGTATCTGTCCTCAAAGAACTTGATCACTCCTAGAGAAGACGGAGAGGCATATACAGTGAGTCATGCTATTTAAAGTGCATAAGTCACTACCAAAGCTATACATTCAAAATAAAAGGCATTCTGATCAGTTAGAGCTGATCAGCTTGTAATGGAATTAAACACGCTTTGCTTAAAAGTCCCTTTTGTTGTGAGAACTTCCTGTGATTTGGGATGTCATTTAAGACAGAAAGACCAGCTCTGTCTGAAAAAGTCAGGGAAGAATTGTTATATTTGCCCCATTCTTGCAGTTTTATTTGGGCATCTTCTGCTGACCACTGTCAGATATGGGGTCCTGTAAAAGATGGGCACTACACAGCTGCTCGCCTCTAGCCTGGCATGGCCATATTTAAGATAATTCTAAATATCCATCATTCCAGATACGTGATTGGGATTTCAGTGTACATATATTTATACTGATCTAAATTCATAACAAATTGGTATTGCTATTTTGACTATTCAAATATATTTGAATTTAAGTAACAGTAAAAGTAACTAGCTACCACCCTGGCTGCTCTTTTCATTATTGAAATTACTACAACAGAAAAGCGAAAAATTAGCAAGGAGCATCGTTGAATTGACTCCTCTGATCAGCAAATCAGTGCAGCAAAATAGCCCACATAAACTTTCTGGAAAAATACCTTCAACTTCCTTTCACCTCAAACAAATATAAATTGCTCTGGGTTATACGGAAGCACAGGGGCTTATAACAAAAATATGAAAGGTAGCATAACAAAAATATTAAAGGTAGCATAAATGCATTAAGAATGGAAGTGTGAGAGTGTGAGGATTAAAACACAGAGTTAAAGAACAAGGGCCCAGGAGTAACACTGATGAATAAGGTGTTCATGCCATGACCCGAAGGTCTGCAGCCTGCGCAGCCCCCAGCCCAGATGACTCATTGGCAAAAGACCCCGCGCTCTAACAGAAGGACAGCAAAAAAGGTTGCAGTGTATCGCTACTGCCATGTCTTTCCCTGTTAGCCCAACAGGGGAATAGGGTACAGACATGTGTATCAAACAGGTATCCCAAACAATGAAAACCAGACAGTGGGCAGCAACCTGTCCTAAGACTTAGGCAGACTGAGGTAAGCAAGAAACTGTGGAGAAGATCCATCTCGTAGTAACAGCTGTCTCCTAAAAGATGTAATAGATGTGCCCAGAAACCATTTTGTCATTGCCAGCCAAGAAGAACCTGAGCCATAGCGAGGCCTTGGCATTTGGTGTCCCTTGTACTCTACGTTGCACAGAAGCGATCCTGGCCATGCCACCTGACCCACAGGTTATCATTAAGGGCAAAAATGTGAGTGTGCAAAATCAAATTGCAGGCACGTTTTGTATCATAAAATCACCTTCTTCCATAAGATGTCGCACTGAATTTTGTTACAGTAATACTCCTTCAGAATAAGTTCCTATGCTGGTCATATCGGCTCAGAACGCAGTAGGTGTTTGAGACTTACCATAGAGGGACACCCCCGTCTTTAAATGAGGATTTTTTAGCATCAGATGTTGTACCGCTGCTCCACCCCAGCAAAACCCAACGACACCAATCTTCTTTGCACCACATTGTTCACTTAGATACTTCAGGATGACATCAACTTCTCTGAGACATGTAAATGAAAGCGAGTTAAGGCTCTAGCTCTATTCTTCTGGCCTGCAAGGTGTGTGCTGCTCAGAGACTGGCTGGGCATTGGTCTGCTTGTGGGAGGCGGTGAGTAACTGTCTTTGCATCACCCCTGTTTTTTTCTTTCTTTCCTTTATCAAACTGTCTCTATCTCAACTCATGAGTTTTCATGCTTTTTTTCCTCCTATTCTCTCCCCTGTCCCTCTAGGGGGCAGTGAGTGAGCAGTGGTGCAGGTGCTTGGCTGCTGGCTGGGGTCAACCCACAACACTAGTTTACTATTACTCATTTCTAAAATACAAGAGAAACTCCAGGGGAGAAGCCAAAGGAGCAAATCAGTCTTCCTAGATCACTGTTACTAGAACTGAAGGTGATTTTATAAACAGCAGTCCAATTAATTTCACAAATGGCAACAGCTGTCTTACATGCTAACACAAATAAAAGTTTGAGACACACAACCAGTCAAGAGCATCCTATTATCACAAATGTGACTATAGGTAAACTATGTCTCAGTGGGGAGACAAATATTTTATGCAATTGTGCAAGTAAATTTGAAATTGTTGCTTCAAAATCAGCAGTGACATTATGCAATCAAGCTATGTGTCAGATAAAAATGGGAAAAATATAGCTAGAAGAATGGGAAAGTAGTATGCTTTGAACTAGCTGGGATCTGATGGGAACAGGGCCAATGTTCCCAAGTTAAATAGTGTTTGGTGACTACATTTGCACCCTATCTGGAATCCATGGAAGTTGTGCCTGCCTGCGGGAACAGAATCAAACTGAAGTGGAAGGATCGAGCTGCATTTTCTAGCCTTTGCCAGTTCTTTTCTTTCAAGTCATTCATCTTCCTTCTACTCTCTGCACAGGTAAGCAGTGGGCACTTTTATTCTCATTCAAAGTTCTACTTTTCTCCAAAAATCACCCTTCACATAACTCTGAGATTGACCCACAAGCTGCATGAAATTTCTGTTTCTGGACATCCATTTGTATTTGACCCATTAATAATTTAGGATCTAATCCTGCATCTTCATTGAGGCAAAAATTCCTACAAAAGAAGGATGTCCACTTGCTAGACAAGGAACAACGGCTGTACTTGTCTATTTTGGCAGCATTTCGGGTTTTCAGCCAGTCATCGAAAGACGCCCAGTCATTAGAAGGTTTCCAAGCTTCTTGTCCCACAAAAAAATCTGGGCAGATGGCTCTGCAAGAAAAATGAAAACATTTTATACCCATGAAACAACACTGAGAAAGGATTAAAGGGAAGTCCATGTGTGCTATACAACAAATTAATTTTGTTGAATACACATAGAATCTAATCTACATCAAAGCACTACACAAGCAACCCTCATTATTTTTCTGTGTCTAATAAGGAGACTTAGCATAACTTCCAGATACATTTTGCCCTGTTAATATTCACTAATTGATCTGGCAATCTGTTAACTGCAATTGAAAATCGTTAGTGGTTTCCTACTAGATTTTAAAAAAAAACCAAAAAAAAACAACCTACAATTTATACGGTACGTATATTTGGGCTAGAAGGAATGCTAACCCAGTAATACAGGAAAGAGGATACCCAATATGCTTTTCACATATTTGAGAACTTGTTTATTTCTTTGGCACAAGCTGATGCACTTTGTCTGAACAGAATGACTTTCAGCTTCTCTGGAACTTTTACCCTAACAGCAAAGTTGCACGGATGCTACATCAGGAGGGAGGAAGCAAGCTGCTTCGGGCTCATGGAGGATGAAAGATGCAGAATAAAATTTTTTTCTGCTTCCCCTCTCTTCTTCTGTGCTTGCCTAGTATCTCATTGTGGTAGGACTACTGAACTATGTCAGACCTCTTGCACCACTTTAGCAAAGAGGAAGCTCTTTAAAGAAACACGTAAGTGAAGCATATGAAACTGTGTTTCTATGGTCTATATAAAAAAAAGAAATAGTTGGTTCAACAAACTTCCTTATTAAAAACACACTTTGAAAACAGGAGTATTTCTTACACGTATCCATTAGCTGCAAGCATATCAGCCATGTATCTGGTGTTTGGGAGTTGCCATCCAAATATATCATGAATCACAATCACAGCTTTGTCTGTGCCAGCAGGTGGTTTGCAGACATACGCCTTGATGTGCTCAACTTGCACCTCCTGCCCGTGGCCTCCGTAGTCAAACCTGTCTCCAATATCACATGGGCAGGGCCTCGATTCATTAGCCATGCGTGATACTAAAGAACAAAAAATATTCAGTTATGAATATCGCAGCATGCCATACTGAAAAAGACCAAAATCCAGCGGTATCATAGATTATCGAAGTCTTGAATCATTACGGTAGTATTGTGAGCATACTAATTAACGTTAGATCTCAAATGCAACATTAGTCACTAAGCCAATTGGGATGTTTCTTATAAATAATAATCTTGTTAGAGTTACTTATGCTACAAACTCTTCAGCAGGGACCTGGTACATAATTAGGGCTTCTGTGCCCTACAGTAATACAGTAAAAATAAAGTTAAGACCAACGAGCCAGGCAACAATCACGAATTATTTAGTGATGAAGCCAGTTCTTTCACTCTTTGTCATGTGTATGTCCTTGTCAGGAATGCATAACTTTCTTTAATATAGACTGTAAAGGCTTAATGCAGGACATGGCATTTGAAGGGGAAAAAAAAAAAAAAAGGAAAACACAGCTACTGTGTAGAAAGATACAATTACGCTTAGATTAAATGTGATATTTTCCTCCAGAGACTTAAAATATTCCATAGCTGACCTTTTCAGTGTCAAGAAATTCTTTTCCTAAACCAGCTTTAGCATCAGATATTGCAGACTTCTGAAGGAGAATACTTAAGGAAGGTGCCAATAAAAATATACCAGTGAAAGCCAGAGTATAAAATCATATTTATCTAATATTAAATAAGGAATGCATTCAAAGCTCAAGATAGGAAAAAATAAAATTGAACATAAGGAAAAAATCCTTAAGTTGAGCCAAATGTTTTATGAGCAAGGTAACAGTAGGGCATGGTTAATTTTTTACAAACTATTGCTTAAATGAAAACAAACAAGTAATTCACAAAGGTCAAAAAATGCCAGCCAAATCTAACACAGATTTATGTAGCTCCTTGACCTCGAGTTAATGATTTTATGCCACTGACCTTAGGTTAACCAGCTGGATGAACTGACTTCATATTGCTGCAAAATGACTCATTTTAATAATATATTTGAATACGCACAGAGCACCTCCAAGTCATTAAAGAATGTGGAGAGAATTTAGATGAAGTTTTACCTAAACTCTCTAGAGATAAATTGTGTGCAGTGAGAAAATTTTGCTAGTTCGGAGACAAGGATGTTCAAACTTGACTATGCCAAATGTAGTCACAGAGAGAAATGGAAAAAAGCAGGTTACTGCCCAGTCCCTGAACTAGCATCACTTACACAGCTGTGGCACTAAAGGGACAGCTTTAGGAAAACAAACAAGCAAACAACCTTACAGCCAGGAAATTTGCACAGATTTCCAGGGACCAAGATGTTCTGGATTTGCAGACTTTAAAATTGAGAATATTGCAAGCAGCGTAAGCAGGGCTAGGGTTGCACATCTTGGGAGATTTCATTTTTCACAGATCAGTTCAAGACAAGCTGTATCTTATTTTTAAGCTATATTAACTCTGGGCACACATTTATACTAATCCTCTACTTTTCTTTTTAAATAAGTCACACCCAGGTGGGTTTTTTCCACATGTAGTCTCACATATAGGACTTCTAATTTTAAGTAAGTCTGCCACGAAAAAATTAATTAATAGATGGGCATATAAGACAAAATACAGCTTAAATATATAATAGGAAAGAGTTGATAACTAATTTTCCATCCACAAACTATTTCCTTTTGGAACAAAACCATCAACCAGGTATTAAAGAAACATATATTTCAGAACTCCAGAAACACAAACACAATGCTCTTGGCAGTCAGTATATCCTTAAGGGCTTTAATTGCAAATATTTCACATTACCTGATAAAACGTAAAGCAACTGTAAAACCTGAAAAGCTTAAAGGTGCAGATTTAGCAGCTAAGGAAAAGAGCTCCAGACACGAGCCTGCGAGGGGTAGCGTTGGCTTGTATGGTTTGTAAGCCATATAGGCTTGCAAGATTTGTATCGTAACCAAAACATTTTGGTGTTTCTACATTTGCCATAGCATTCATTATATGCAAAGACCATCTTTTTCCATTTCTGAGATGCTACTGAAACATTCCTTAAAAATTAATCCCCCTCTCTTACATCCATCAAAGCTATTCTTTTAGGAGGATCTGTAAATCCTCAGCCTTCGCGTTCCACCATCTCCACCTGCAAGCACTTGAGCATTTATTTGAAGACCAAACAGTAACTTTAGTTTTCAGAAACTTGAACCTACGATCAGAAAAATATAACGACATTGCTGTGTGTCTCTTTCACGTTCAACAGACTCTCCTGAGTCCTCCTCCTGAGAGGTCTTCCTCATCTCAGGAGGGAAACTGAAAGGTTTCTGAACCATCATCTCAAAACAATTAGGGAAGAAAGTAGCCCCTTGATAGCATTTAAATGAGCATGCAGTCTTTAAAAAAGCACGTAGATAAAATGAAAGTCTCCCACACCAAGTCAGACCTCAGAATGCTTTGCATTTCTCAGGAGGAAAAGCCGTAAGAGTTTAAAAAAAAAACCCAGACGAAACCCTCACATACCTGTAGCGCAGCAAGTGTGCGGGAGAGCAAAGGCAAGCCGCAGGAGCTCGGCGTGGATGGTTACCACTGACCGTGATCCCAAAAGAAAGTGCTAACTCAGAAAATGAAAGGGGTGAGTGCGAGGATCAGGTTTCTTCAAATCCCAGTTACGTAAGTGACTGCCTTCACCTTTGCATATGGCAGAGCCACAAAGTTGACAGTTCCTTCTTCTTAAAGCCGTTAATTTTACTGCTAGCATAGGCAGGGGGTGCGACTGTGGGGAGTGCTGCTGTAGCTGAGCGCCAAGCCTTCCTGTTAACTTACACAAAACGGTATGAAGCACAGCAAATGTGTTGACTTAGCTGAGCAATTCATTTAGACAAAACCTTTTTTTTTTTTTTTTTTTTTTTTTTTTTTTTTTTTTTTTTTTTTTTTTTTTTTTTTTTTTTTTTTTTATTTAAAGGGTGTTCCTTTGTTTTTAAAGGTTGGGCTAGTATCACTATTAAACATTATGTTTATTATACCCTTAGACTATTCATCCATTGATAAAAGACATATCTACAGTCATCAGTGGGGTGAGGTAGTGAAGTAGAGACATGGTTTCAAAGCTCTATACAAGACAAAGCTTATATAGTATAGGAAAAGAATTTCTCTTTCAGAGTGAAAATAAATAACATGTAAAAAGGTAACAGTTTTGTAAGATGCCTGTACATATCATTATAATAAGTGTTTAAAATGCTGATACATTTTTATCCTATCATAGGACGTTTTATAAATATTTTTTTTTTCATTTTGAATTGAAGCGACTGTCTGATCCTTGTATCCCTCCCATTCTCCTGATTTTCTTTTTTATTGGATTATTAGGATTATTCTTTAAAAAGCGTTATCTAAGGATATTAGCAATCCAGAAGCCAGTTTCCTCAGAGGCACATCTAAAAAGTAGCACTAAATGCATGTAAGTCTCCCACATTTTTGCCTTGGGAAAGCAACCAGCCTTACAATTTAGTATATAAGCTGTTTTCCTATGTTCTAAATAACTTTGTCAATGCTATTTATTTACAATTCCTCAAATAAAATAAAAAGAATGAAAAAAATCCTACCAGAGAATCCCAGAATGAAGTTCACAAGGTTCAAAACTCAACCCTTTTGGTTTTTTAGGCTTTTCCCACTTGTATACTACAAGCAACAAATTATAGCACATGGGGAGCTTAGATAGTCCACAGCAACTTCAAAGAACAGTAGTAAAATAACTGTGAGAGAAACTGGCAGCTTAAATAATTCCTAGAGGAGAAAAATGACAGCAATGCTTGCAGAACACTGCAACTGGAGTTGCTTAACCACGTTTCCATTCCCTTAGTCACAGTAATGCAGCTCGGGAAGTTTCTCTCTCTAGTACATAAGACTGTTCCGCTTTACCTTAACACTAACAATTAAACACTAGAAATTAAGTGGCTTTTAATTTGGTTTCCTGTTGTTTCCATGTTCCTTGCTAGGCAATCCATGCAGTCGTTTTACTTAGAAGTCAAAACCTAATCCAACACATTTGCGACCTCTGTACGTGCAGTTGGTTGCCCTTTGGACTGTAAACACCTACCTCTTCTTGACCTCGCCTTTCCAGCTCTCACGCAGTGACTTACGGCTTTATCACGAAGATTTGGCTGTACGTGTAGTGACTCGTAGCTACCCTGTCACTTCAGGCAAATGCTGCATCTCTGTTTTTTCCCCTTTTGCTTAGTCACCGCGTTCGTGTTACAGTACACATGCCGTTTCAGTATTTATGAATGACTGCTGTTCTCTAAATATATGACCCGGTTGCCCTCTTGCACATTAGCTAACCTTCTAATGCTAATGGAACTCCATTAATGTGCAGTTATCCAGGGTTTACGCCAGGGTAGTTAAGGTAGAATAAACTTCCAGATCTCTACCTTCTCCTCCTGGAAAAATGTGTTATGAGAGCTGTATCACCCAGGTAACAGCTGGATTAATGCATCACATATGGTTGGTATCACATGAAAAGCAACAGTGAATTGGCAGCCGCAGGTCAGAACTCTCTGAAGATCTCCCCATGGGGAAGACAGAGGGCCATCAACAGTATGTAAAGGAGGAAAATTGGGATGGGAAAAAGCAAAAGAAATTAAAATCCCATTGCGAGATACATGGTTAATAGATACTGTTGACTATTTTTAAATGACACACCACAGTGTCTATTTCTCTGATAGTTCAGTTCAGTTCAGTTCGAGAGACTGTCATTAGTAAAATTAAGGCCTTCCTAAATTACATTTTCTTCCCATTAAATCACTTAGCAGTCTTTATCAGTAGCACTGAGAAGGTAAAAAGGGACAAACATTCTTCTCTTTTTTTTTTTGTCTTATAACTTTAGAATTACCAGCACCCAGTGAAGATACTAGGCAGCCGGTTTCCAGCTACTGAACGCAAGGCTTGCTCCCCATGAGGCGTAATTAAACTGTGGGAGGAGTCACCGTCACAGGGTGCACTCGAGTTCATCATTTCAAGCAGGCTCAAAAAGGGACTGGCAAATTCACAGAGGCTAGGTCCAGCAGTGGCCATTCGCCACACTGCCCCAGTGGCAACATCCAGCTCAGGAACCCCCTGAACCGGGAACCCTGTCTGCCAGGATGCGGAGGGAGAGAGGAAATTCCCTACGCAGCCACTGCTGGCCACTGACGGAGGCTGGGTGCCAAGGTAGGTGCAATCTTGAGCTGATGCAACACAGGGATTTTTGTCGTATCATCGATGGGAAAATTATGTAACAAGATACATTATGCAAAAACCATGTAACATTTCTCCTTTAAGCAGCAACCGTGGTTTGTAAGCCACACATTGAAGTGCCCTGTTTGCTGACTGCATTGTACTTCTGAATTTCTAAACTGACCAGGAGATAGAGTTTCACAGAACCAAAGGTAACCTGAGAAAGGAGTACCCCATCTGAACAACCTTAGCCACAAATTTTGAAACAAGATATGCCCATTTATGTCACCTGTAACTACACATCTGCCACTGGGGTACAAGTCAAAAAAGCCTTGTCTCTCTAAATTAGCTCCACCAAACAACGTATTTGTCTCCCTAAATTTTGGGCTTGTGACTTATATAGAACTCGGATGAACAGTGGCTATAATACACAAAGGGATTCATTTACCACTAGTGTAACTTACATCAGGCATTAAGGAACTCTCGAGGAAACAGAGAATATTTCACAGTGAATTAAAACATCACACTGCTGGTGAAATCTGAAACTTCTTCAAAAGAACATGATATGGAAGTATCAATTAGAATCTACTGACAAAAACCATCCAAAATATTGTTTGCTTTTTTCTTTAATTCCTACTTCAACAAACTCTCCCCTGCAATTTTCTAACATGTTACTGAAAATCTCCAGTGTACTACATAATTGTGTTACAAATTAAGTTGCTTGCTCTTCTATTAAATGTATTTATTCAGCCAGTTGATCATATCCTTCCTTCCTTCCTCAATATAAGGCTTATCTTGAGGATTGATATCTTCTCTTCTGCGATGTACAAACCCATGAGTTTGTCCAGGATAAATTTTAACTTCAAAATCGACTTTACAATTTTTCTTTAGCTTCTGCTCCAGCAGGGTGACCTGTAATATAGAGCATAGCAGTACTCATATTAATATAGCCATATTCCATGCTGTCAGTCCTCAGCTTATTCATAGTTCAGCTCCCTAATTTATCATTCATGGTAGACACTAATAACCGAGCTCCATATGGGCAAATCAAGAAGAAAAATTACATAAAGAAAAAACACCTTTGCAGTAAGGGTCTAGACAATTTGTTAGAATATAAAGGCAGGTCCAATGATCTGCAAAGATATGGATATAACAAAAGTATTTCCTACATGTGAAATATATCACAATGCTAAATACACTACAGCGGAACAAAAAGCTTCTAACAGACACCTATGGATGGAATTTAGTGTATCCTACGTGGTTTATGTGTGCTTAGGACCAACAGAAAATAAAATCATACAGCAAAGGCTAGCTCCCAGAGCTACTAGCTACTCCAAAACAGCAATGGGATTTTGATAAAGCTTTGTTACCTGGGTTACTAGCCATAATTTTACAAAACAAAGAGAGTTAAGGAAAAAAGAAAAAATCTAGTTTCCATTCTTTGCCTAGGTTACATTAGCTCTTCTATGCTTAGCTCCATTTTTTGTGCTTATTTTTTGACCTCCAAGCACTACCATGAGGCTAAGTTTTGACTCCCAAGTCAGGATGGAAATATAAACATGCAGGAATAAAAGAAGGTAGAGGCTATTAGCATACTTGATTAAGGGGAATGAAGTCATCTTTTTCAGCAAAAATGAAAAACGTAGGGTTCAGAAGATTGGACATATCATCAGAATCCTTGATTAGTCCTAGAAAACATTAAAGAAACAAAAAAAACCCTCTTCAACTGACTTTTAAGGTGGAATCCAAATTGAAATACAGCACTCTGCTTCAACAGTGAAAAGTTTTCGTGTCTCATGGAATATGTAGCTGTAAGTATTAGCTTCACTTTCAAGCTACCGTAACCATGGCTCCTAGAAGAATACCTCCTAGATTAAAACTCTGTTTAAGCCAGTTTCTTAAGGTACAGACTGAATACCTGAATTAATAAGACTTGAAAGACACCTCCTGTGCATAAAAGCTTGAGTTGACTGGGAAAGTCAATGCTTTAGTAAGTAGACCAAAATTTACATTCTGAGAACGTTAGCAAAGGGCAGCTTAGCTATCCCAGCTTCTTCAGCAGACCATAAAAGGAAAGGTGGTGTTAAAATAACCACAATCTATCTTTACAGAGTAGCTAGGTCAAAAATAACACTCCCTGCTCCCAGGTGAAGTTCTAGCTCTGCAGCATGCAGAGCAGTAGTGAACAGGAAAAGGGAGCTAAATCGGGAAGGTGACCAAAGGACATGTCTGTCTGTCCAGACCTGAAATAAAAACATGGCTGCTATGACCCATGCTCAGACTAGGAACAACTGTCCTCACCACCATCTTCCTTGCATAATATCATTCCTATCTGCTGAAAATAGAATAGAATAGAATAGAATAGAATAGAATAGAATAGAATAGGACTATTTCATTTGGAAGGGACCTACAACAATCTTTTAGTCCAACTGCCTGACCAATTCAGGGCCAATCAAGTTAAGGCATGTTATTGAGGGCACTGTCCAAATGCCTTTTAAACCCTGGCAGGTTTGGGGCATCGACCTCTGCTCTAGGAAGCCTGTTCCAGTGTTTGACCACTCTCTTGGTAAAGAAATGCTTCCTAATGTCCCATCTGAACCTCCCCTGGCACAGCTTTGAACCGTTCCCATGCAAAACATCAGCTGACAGCCTGATTTGAATAATGCTAGATCAAGTACTTAAATTACACAATATACATATGTATGTGTATTTACCTACCATAGAGAGATACGCCAGCCTTCAGTTCCGGGTATGTCATCATCAGGTGACGTACAGCAATACCACCCCAGCAAAAACCAACAACCCCTAATTTCTTTGCACCATACTGTTCCTGCAGATATTTCAGGACAGCATCAGCTTCTCTGGAACATATAAGCAAATGCAAATTAAGCACCTATAGTGAAACCAGTATTTGAAAATATGAGAAGAAAATGTAGGGATGCATATAAGTGTCCCCATATCATGCTGCTACTATATTTTCTTTCACATACTTTGAATAAATCATTATTTCAGACAAATATTAGGGCTTGCTAATCTGAGACATTCAGAAAGAGGAAAAAAAAAAGAATGGAATTGAATTAAATAAAAATGCAACATGAAAAACATACATCAAAGGAAATCTAAAGGGATGGGAAGCAGATAACTGATCAAACACTTACCTGAGAGTTAAAAAAGCTTAAAATTCTCTGAGAAGCTGGATGACTTTTTGCTTTGAAAATGTATATAGAAAAAGTAAAAAAAAAACTATCTAAAGAATACTATTAATTAGACAGTCAAAATGCTGGCAATAACTCTTAAGTTAGCATAGGAGACATTTGCTGCAGGAAAGGCAATGTAACAAACATGGTAGATGTTTTCAGAATTTACAGTGTAGCTTGACATACTCCTGGCCCAGATGCTGTATTCTGAAAGCACCCATTTACCCCTGAAGCAGGTGTCACCATGCAGAGGCAGTAAAAAGAAGGTACTGGTGGGAGAGAGGTAGCAGTTAAGTCTTTTGTATCACCCCAAGACTACATTTTCAGCCCCAGTTCATTGCCCCCTGGGGCACACAAGCTATATATGCTGTTGGTACATCAGCCTCACAAATGCCACATTATCTGCCAACACCTGCCAACACACAAACACGCACAGAAGCAAATTAAGTGCCGAAAAAATCTTTCTTCACCGGAGCTGGCACTTGAAACATGTGAATTGCCTGTAAGAAATACCAGGCAGAGCCCGACCCTTCCTTCCCATTGCAGCAGCAAGGGGACCGATTCCAAACTAAAAAGCTTCCACGACAACTGACCTCTCAGTGACCATGGGGAGAGGCTCCCAGACAGCACTGTGGGGCAGCCTCAGCAAGGGCGGACAAACCCCATCTCCATGGGAGTTGCTTTTAAGCTGATGCTCTGCCACTCAGCGTTGCTCAAGCTACAGCTCCCCCTCCGTCGCAGCCATGCCAGTGCCTGGCCATGGGCCCTGCTGATCCAGACCCCTGTCCAGATCACGGACCCACAGACTGACTTCCCGGCTTGGCCTCGGCCCTGCCACATCACTACAGACCTGCCTGGTGATCCCTGGACTGTAACCCATAATGGTTAATGCCCCCAGACCTGCCCCTGACCCCAACTCCTCATTCCCAGCTTGACCTCGAACCTGCCTCAATTGACCCTGACTGCCATCCTGGTGCCTGGATCTGTCTGGAGTACCATGGGATGGAGCCCTGGCACTGCCAGCTGATACCCCTCTTGGCTGCCAGCACCCTGTCCCCTAGGGAGCCACCAGCCCCCGCTGCGCCCTGACAACAGCTGATCCAACCATCAGCTACCTGGGGCCAGTTAACACCATGCTGGGTAAGTATGATGGCGCAGTCAAGATCTCTTCTTTCCACGCAACATCTTACAGCATCAGTCTGTTACACTCGGTGAGACTCAAGATGAGAATTATGCTTTATCACTGCTTGTGTCACCAGTCATTTTTAAACCATGCTTTTTGAGGCAGAGGAAGCAATTAGCAGTCTATGACAGCAACCCTGCTCTAAGCCACTACTAAGAGAGCTGACCTTGAACTCTGTTCAAGGCAAAATAAAGGGTCACTTCTAAGGAGTCATTAAAAAAGGCCCCACCTTCACTGGTAGATTAGCTCCATTCAATCTCAAAGAAAAAAAAAGTGGGGCGGGGGCAGCGGGAAAGCAGTATCTGACAGCAGCAGGTAATGTAATATCCAAGTCCCTGGCATCTTACTTGTTTATTTTCCTGGCATCTCGAGTTTTCAGCCAATCATCGAACTTGGACCAGTCATCAGAAGGCTTCCAAGCTTCTCTTCCTGCAAAAAAGTCTGGGCAGATGGCTCTGCACACAGAGACGCACACAGACAAATGTCAAAATTGAATGAATTAATCAAACACTGAGATTTTTTTGGCCCTTCATAGCATGGAAAGTTTCTGTCCAAGCGTAATAAGCATAATTTTGTTTTGTTTTATTTTTCCCGAGAAAGTAATGTTTTTAAACATTATTGTTTATGTCATTCCACAGAAATGCCTATGAGGTTTAGAAAACATTTATAGGTATCTCTATAGGCTTTTTTTCCATGACTAAACTACATAATACAATTTGTGATACAAATTCTGGAAAATATAAATATTTTTATCCCTAGTATTTTACCTGTTTTGAGTACATAATTTGAAACTATACACAGTAAAACAACAGATTATCTTGTAAAGGATAATCAAACTAGGTCCTGATTACAACAGTTTAGGTTTTGCATACAACATAATGCCACTTAACATAATTCCATCATTAGGGGGGTCCATTTAAAGGAATACAATTACATAAAATAGTTATTTACTACAGAGCACATCATGAGGCTTACTTATGAGCTAGGAAAAAAAAAAACTAAACACCTGATGGACTGAGGTCAGCAAAGAACGAATGAAGGGAAAACACGTGGGAAGGAAGGGAGGAGTATTTTACCACAGACATCATTTGGTGACTGGAAAAAGGGAAGTGGACAGTAAGAGTCCACTCAGTACTAAAGAGTTCCTGCATCACAGGGGTGCGCAAACCCTGGCTCGGGATGACCTCGGCTGAAATGTGTTGTGCAACCAGCAGCGGAGTTGTGGTGGTGCAGTCACTGGTGGATAGTACAGTCTCCTCATGCAGAAGGAAACAAGCAGGGACTCTGGAGGCTGCCCTAGAATCGGTCACCCCCAGATGCTTCTACATGTTCTCTCAAGCCCAGCACACAGGGAAGCAATGGGATCCCTGGGAAACTGCTGTCATCTTTCACTTACTAAATGCCTTTGGCTCTCTCCCTCCTCAGGCACACAGTATGTATCCCAGTGATCATGGTGAAATTACTGGATCAGTTTGGCCTAAAGCAGACCAAAGTATGTTGCCAGCATTTTTTTCTTACTGTGTTTGCTCATTTCTATGAAAAAAAAACCCAGTCACATCCACAGCATAGTTGTGTTTGGAAAGGCATGAGCAAAATTGCACAGCCTTTGAGGTAAGTACCTGTCAGAAAGGCTACGTATTGCTTTGAAAGTGAACCTTCCCAAGCCCATGTAGAAGAACGGGTTCTTCCCCATGCAAACTAGCCTGATAAGACACTACGAGCCATCAGTCTTAATGAGGTCTCTGACATACAGCTCTCATAGCTCCTCATCCCATACTGTGCTAGGAAAAAGTCCAGCTCTTTTCCTCTCAATAAACATTGGTGCACCAGTTCAGCAGCATCCTGAAGCAATCAGGGAAGATGCACATGGCCTGAAAACTCTCAGCTCTCCTCCTGCCTAGAGCAATGGAAACACCAGCCTTCTTCCCTTTACCACTGTGGTATTAGCAGTACAGGTGGAGGGAAAGAAGGTGTTGCAAAAAGAAGTATGACATGGCATGAATCATAGGGAAAAATTACAGGAAGTAAAGTAGTGTGGAGAAATACCAATTCGTCAGATACTAAGTAATAAGGAAGCATACTGCCATACTAGTGATTTGCCAGTATCCCACACAGCATGAAAGGTGTAGGTCCAGTCTCATGTTGAGAATGACTGCATTTAGTCACAAGGCGAATGCACTTCCAGTCATGGAGCAGAACAGGGGATGTCAAGTCCTCAGGAAAGACAGTGGCAAGGAGCAGACTATAGACCACTTTGTTGTTCCAGTGTCTCAGAAAACCCTAATCCTCACAAAGGCAGTATCTTTATCTTGTGGAGACAGAGAGCTCCTTTCAGCTCCACAGACAGATCTCAGCCACACGGCAACTACTTGCTGACATCCGACTTCCCTCATGCTCCATAGGCTGAGAGCATTAAAGGCACCATCTCTCAAAACTGGACCACTACAGAATTAGTTGGAGGTTTGTGTTTTTTGGAACTACAGGCCAGTCTCAACCCTATATGAATGTTTGTAATGTACACGGCAGGTGGAGTACCTTGCAGCATATCCAGTTATTGCAAGATGTTACTGCATTTTGGAATTTAACTGCTGTAGGGAACTGAAAATGAGCGCGAAAGATTTGCATGTGGGAAGGGGATTGTATTTAATACCCCATGTGTGAGTACGAATCATTCATGTACCCATATTCAACGTGCACATTCGATACCATTTTCAAAATATATGACATTCATTCATATTTCTGCTGATGACAATTTTTTAAAATCCCATCATATAATTTAGCTTGAATGACTGTTTATTTTAAAAAGAAGTCTAAGAACAGAATACACACTTCTGTTTCAGAACACACTATTTTTTAAAGCCATCTCACATTGCTGGGAAAATTATCAGAATCACTTTCTACTGCATCATGTTTTCAATATTCCTCACATTTTATGTCTGTAAACAGCAAAGTATGAGGGAAGCATGCTGTACTCTGCAACTTTTCACAGCAATGTTCCTTTGTCATATTGTATTATGGAAATACATCACTCAAACTGCCCTGGTAATAGTTTCCTCTCATGTATGGGAATAACTGTTCTAATGTAAGGCTAGAAACCATAAAGAGTGGGATTTCTTGGAGAAGAAGAGATTTCTTACATGTATCCATTAGCTGCAAGCATATCAGCCATGTATCTGGTGTTTGGGAGTTGCCATCCAAATATATCATGAATCACAATCACAGCTTTGTCTGTGCCAGCAGGTGGTTTGCAGACATACGCCTTGATGTGCTCAACTTGCACCTCCTGCCCGTGGCCTCTGTAGTCAAACCTGTCTCCAATATCACATGGGCAGGGCCTCAATTCGTTAGCCATCTAGGAATCTGCAGGAAAGCAAAAAGGACAGAGAGCAATGTAATTTATTAGCAGTAACAGCTGTGATTATGGGTCATAATCTTCATGCAGGCCCCACAGTCCCCTCCAGATGCTTAGTAATACCCACTTGATACTGCAAAGTTAGAAGTGAAGCTCCAGGTGTTTATTTTAAACAGGCTCTTGACACCAGCCCTCTATGGTTTCCATAAATATTCATGAATTCCAGGTCAGTCAGCATAACCCAGGAGCACGGTAAGGCGAGAGGAAGGGCTTATGTCAGTCTGCCATTCCTAGCTTTGTGCCTGGAGCACAGGCATCCAGCATGTGATAACTACATGGCCATGTGATGTCCCCACGCACTGTGCTTCATAACCATTCCTCTCACGTGGTTTTACAGCTCTTCCTCACAGGCTGGCACTCTTGCTGTTGCTCCTGTGAGAGCCCACTGTCAGCATGCTGCTTTTCTGACTACCTTTTCCTTTCAAGTTTTTATCGCGCATGTCCCCTTTCCCCTCCTCCATGGGGAATCCAAGGCTGCTGCTGCTACCTACGTGCACTTTGCTGGTCCCTTGTATCCCCTGCTGTGTATAGCCATTTCCCAGGGAAACCATCATTAACTGGCATCTCTAGAAGTTCTAATAAATCAACTCAAAGAAGGTAAATCAGCAGAGGGTTTCTCTGAGAGAATATAATCTGAACTGAGAGCAGCCAGAGGAATACACAGACATACACCAGTGTTGTGCATATAACATGCCCTCATACATCACAGACACGGAACTTCTCTAGTGGTATACGTTTTAAAGGACAAACTGGAAACTACTCCATTTCTCCTCAAGTGAAGAAAGGTTTCCAAAGAGTTTATGACCTATGAGGTCTTCTCAGAAGAATCCCTCAAGCTCGGTTTAATTTCTTTTTCCTTTCAACTGGAGATAGGCCACTGTAGCATCTTTTTAAACCCAACTAACTTCTGGTGCCCCTTGCTCTTCCCCCTTCACAAAGCAGTGGGCAGCCATACACAGAGCCTTATCTCTACCCTAGACTGAGAAGCTGTTTAACCTAGCTCTGCTGCCACTCTTAACCAATCGAAATGGCACTGTTTGCTTATTACCAAGAGCTAGCCTCTCTTCCCGTGTAAATGCATGCACGGGAATGATATTCCTTGATCTGGCTGGTCCCCTTACTAAAGTGAAATGCAGCATGCTGGCAATAAAAATCAAATGCTGCAAACTCTTCAATGCTTAACTGGTTTTTGTTAGGAATAGATCTTAACCATTTATCCCCTTCTAGATTTTCTAATTAATTCAAACAGATGTCAAATAAGACCTTTAATATGCTCACTCCCCTCTTCCATTTCTCTGCTACAACTGGGTGTAGCATGATAAATGGTATTAAAAACAAAACAAGAAAACAGAGTGAACAACAAAACAAATTACTCCAAATCCTGCCTCTTCATGCCAGTTATGCTCTTTGGGGTGATACACGGAGAGGTTCCCAGCACCAGTCCCCCCTTAAGGATGTCTCTCAACAGAGCCTTTTTTGAACAAAGCTCATCCCCCGACCTTCTGCAATCAATCACCACCTCATCTCCAAAAGATGCAGCTGGAGCTTAACTTGCCAGATAGACGGACTGCAGCTATGCCAGCATTACAGTGAGGCAAAAGCACCTTTTCCAAATGTCAGGCAAAGCAAAGGCATGAGGCTTCAAACACACTCTGTATAAGTGACCAGGCTTAGAACAACTCTCCTGCCACCCTGCTTGCGAACTGTTTTCCTTCACAAGCAGTTCATCTGAGCAGTAAGCCAACAAAAATTTGAGTAAAAGACTGGATCCTTTTAAAATAAATCTGTTTAAAAATACATTTTAAAACATAAGCTGTTTTTAAACAAAAACAAAAGTATCACCAAGGTTTAATAAAAACAACATGCTGAATCTATAAGGTTTTTTAAAAACATAATGACTCGAAGAATATTTATGAATTATTCACAGAAAGGGGTAAATCATCTTGTACCGCTGAGGCTATCCCTACAAACATGCCAAAATTCACAGCATAATCTTTCTTTGAACAAGTGAATGCTTGGTAAAAAATACTAATTAAACTGACACGGATGCAGATTTTCAAAAGTACATAAGAATAGTTCACAGAAGGGATTAATAGAGATGTTGAACAGACTATGAACAAAACACTTCTTTTCTCCCTGCACCCCACAGAAATTATCTGGTACAGCTAGAATACATCTAAATAAAAATTGAAGGAACCCAGGATTTTAAAAATTGTTTATTAATTGAATTCTAATTTTCACCTGTATGTAGTTCAATCACCACGAAATTAAATGAGCAGAAAGTTGTTAGTTTAGGAATCTGACTGTATTTGCAGTTTAGCTCAGCTCTTTGCACTCATAGGTGAGATCGGCTCTTGCATTTGTGAAACTTCAAATGAAATACAGTTCAAACTTGTCTGTGGCTGAGACACATGAAGACTTTTAACATATCAGCTACTCAGGTTTGATCTCTGCCTAAGAAATCAGCTGCACTGACATCTTTTTTGACTTTTCTTTCAAAGCTTTATTTTATTCAAGTGTGAATTTCATCATGACTTTAAAATGCTGCACGCCTTGCCTTTTTTTTCTTTCCTTCAAAAAATTACTCGCTATACTTCACAGTCTCACGGTTTGAGACACTTTGTCACATTTTATCAAGCCCACACACAACATATTTACAGCCCAAACCTGGCATTTCCACTGCCTTGATTTACCCTTCCCAGTTTCAAGATTTAGGCTATCACATAAGCCCCCTCTATGAAATAAAACCAAAGAGTAAAACAATTTTGGTAAGACCCAGTTTAGGCAGAGAGTCCGATCTGTGAACTTCCAATAGAGCGGCCGTAGCACAACAGCATCCGTGCTGCTCTCCCACCCACAGTGGTGAGCCTGGGGCTAGAGCATCAACACAGAAATAGGTAACAAGACTCAAACCAGCTCTAGTTTGAAACATTTCTGTGCCTTCTCCTTCATCCCTTTATTCTTCCCAGTGCTCAGAAACACCTCATCAGCCCTTGTCCTGCTTCCTCTATGGCATGTCAACAAGGTGGCAGCTCCCTGTCCTCTCATCCAGTGAGCTCTGAACCTCACGTGTTAGGAGTGCCAGGCACGAAAGTGGAAAAAACAGTCGCCACGAGAGTCTATACGGTAACAGAGGCTTCTCCTACCTTTAATGAGCGCTGGTGATGCTTGGATGGCAGATGTTCAGATTTACTAGTTGCTATTCTTTGAATGCTTCTTTGGTGATATATATTTGAGTTGCTTGAGGTGCATCCCCTCCCGACTGAGTTTTTGCTGAGTCATTTTAATGCGATTTTGCACTATTTGGCCAATCAAGTTTAAATAACAGAGAACTGCAAAGAGATTAACTCCGCATTTTGGAACTAATACTGTTTGTCATGGTTAAAAATCCCTTAGGCAGCTCAGTATACTTCTGTATTCATTTGTACGAGGAAGAAGATCTTACTCATGGTGAGCAAGCATAAGCAGAATATCCTCAGGGTACAAGTCAAATCACGCTCCTTCCAACTCATTGGCTTATCAAGTTGTAATGATATCCCAAGGCAATCTGATTTTCCTATGTAGAGATAAACTGATAAACATCCAGTAGTGCAAAATAAAACGCAGGGTGTGACAGCCTTGTATCACAACCAGGGCTCCCTCTGAACAACTCCAGAGTCCTAAGGTGGAGGTGACATTTCACCTTTTATCATAATCTGGCAGGCTACGATGCCTTGCTGCATGCAGAGACAACTTTCCGCAGCTTTGCTCGCTACGGTGTTCCCCTTACTAGGATGCCAGGTTTCCTCTGACAGTGATGTACCACAACTGCATGACTGGGCAGGGACCATTCTGGGTCTTGATCATTGCAATGAGAGCCAAACCCCCTAAAAGCCTTCTTCATGACAATCAAGGAGAGGGGCCCCATCTTGTGGGCATTTCTTGGAGTGAGGATGGCTGCGAAGCTGTTAAACACAGTGCTTCTACGGCAGTGCTGAAAAGCTAGTTATGGTAGCAACCTGCGTCAGATCCCGCCTAAACTAGAGTTATGCCTGGGCTGAGCAGCTAGGGCTTAGGGGCAGGAAATGCCTCCTTCCTTTCTCCTGAGGCAAACCATCCTCCCCTTCCCGTAGATGTGAGGAGCCCTGCCTCCGTACGGCTTTTAAAGACCTGCAGGAAAGTTTATGCGCTGCCTGCAAAAACTCCTTACCTGTGCCCTCATCCCCACTCCTCAGTGAGGGGAATGAACCTGGATGAGGTCAGGGCATCCACCCACCACCAAGGTCGACCAGGCAAGCCTGGGAACAATTTATCAGGTGCCCCAGAGGCCACGGCACCCATGGCCACGTGCTGCCAACAGCAGGAGAGCCTGGATCCCCAGCACAACTGGAGACACGCTGTGCCAGCAGCCCTGATGACCCGGGGCTCAGCGCATTTGGAGAAGAGTACAGGCAGGCTTTCACACCTCTTCCGTCAAAGCTGTTTACACAACCTGCAGCTGCGTCCCACGCCTGCTGTCCCACAGCTACAGCACCCAGCTCATTAGCTTCGCCTCAGGAGGCTCCCCACTGAACCCTTATTTTTTAAGAAGCTGGGTAGTATTTGGGAAAACAAACAAGAGCAAGCTGTTGCGCATGCAATGCTTGTTTCTAGCCCGCTTCCAAAAGGTTTTTAACAGCAACACTGCAACTGGCATTTTCCAGTTCAGGACAAGCTAGAGCAGACACTGCTTTCCCGGCTCCCTCAAATTTGTATTTTCCTGATTAGCAAAAGCTTCATCATGCTCGCCCCTGGTCTCCTACAAAAATGACACTAAGAGTGGCACTGTCTTCACAAGCCCACGACAGCTGGAGGATTTTTCTGAGGTCATGAAGGCACACAGGGACAGGAGCAGTGCCAAGGGCCCAGAGCTCTCCTTGGGGTATGCAGGAATGTGGCAGGATCAGGACCTGGGTGTCTGGCTACACAAGATACAGCTGGTGACCCAGTACGGCCATCTGGGGACACGGGCTAACACAGACTTGGGTTATCATGCAGGAAGTGGGAGGTCAGCACCAGGAATTTTGGGTGTCAGAGGAGGTTTGGGGTTGAAGGCACCCCTAGCAGTCACCTCGTCCAATTTCCCACTGTGGGCCAGGGCCGTGCCACTCCAGGTTTCACCCTGAGGGGCTCTGAAACTCTCCAAGGAGGGAGATCCCACCACTCCTCCAGAGCTTGGTTGTGAAACGTCCCACGCTACCCCAAGCTCAGCCCTTCCCCTCATGCCTGCTGCCTCCTTGCCTGCCCCTGAGCCCTCCTGACAGGGGCCCCTCACCACCCCCGTGGTGGGAAAAGGTGCCACCAGCCTGGGGTCCCCTCAGCCCCCCAGCCTAGCCACCCAAAGTTCCCGGCCTCGCCTCGCCTTGCTCCCCACCCTGCAGCTACCGGCTGCCCCGGCCTCCTGGGGAGAGGAGAGGCCCGCAGGTGAAAATTGGGGGGGGGTGGGTGGGGGGGTTGGTAGCACTTCTTGAGATCCCCTGAATACTGCCTGAAACCTGGTGTAGAGTTGCAAAGCACATCCAGGGAGGTACTTAAAAAAACCCACAACCCACACACGCATTTTTCTTTCGTCCTCCTGCCTGGGTGTTGGAGGAGATGTATTACAGCAGGTCGGTGCGTGGAGCAGGACGCTGGGCTGTGGAGCACGGGGCTGCTGCTGCCAGCGTTGGAGAAGTGTGGCAACCCAGCAAGGAGGTGAGCCCCTGGAGATAGCCGTGCGCTCACAGCAGGGCATCTCTCTTGGCTGTAACGCAACGCTTAGGTTTTTCCATTTCAGGTTTGGTTCTCTCTAACTCTTGGACGTCCTCCACCACCATGTCTATAGCCACACCTCCATCGATACGGCTGCCCAAAAGGTAGACGCTTCAGTATACATAGTTGTATACTATATGTGCCGGCTGACCACAGAGATATCGACTGGTAGAGCAACACGCAGTTTGTACGGTGCCTCTAACTTGGTAACTTCTCTCCTCGCAGCAGTGGTGTTTAACATATTGTCATCGGGAGGAACAACTATGCATACTGAAGCCCTACTTCCTGGGAAGTGGCTGGACATCGCCTGCTAATGGGAAGTAGAGAATAAAATCTTGGGGTTTTTTCCTTTTGCTACCACGTGCAGCCTTTGCTTTTGCTTTTGCTTTTTCATTATTAAACTGCCTTTATCTTGCCCCATGAGTTTGTTTTTTTTCCCCTTTCCATCTCATTCTTTCCCCACCTGTCCGGCTGAAGAGGGGAGTGACAGAGCGGTTTGGTGGCACCTGGCATCCAGCCAAGGTCAAACCACCACACATACACAGTCTGGTGAGGTAGGCAGACAACCAGCACATCCTGACCGTATAGTTACACTGACGGGACTGCCACGTGCAAAACTGTCAAACATTCCTGATACCAAAGGGAAAGTAGTACCCGTGCAGCTAGCCAGCCTTGATTTATGGCGACATTAACATGGCAACAGTGTGAGAAACTGACAGATACTGTAGAAAATAAAAAGAGACGTGGGTCCCTGAGGGGATCTCTGAGTAAACACAAGTTGCCAAGTCATTACCAAGGCAATGAAATAAAAAGATACAAAAAAAAAAAAAAAAAAAAAAGGCAGGGGGGAGTCGGCAAAACTGGAGCCAGTGCTGTAAGAGTAAACAGGGATGTTTATTGTTGTTTATATGTTGTGTACTTGTGAGGAGATAAGGGTGATAAAGGGGAAGAACAAGAGAGAGGAACAAGGGATATCATGTAAAGCAAACGGTATAACCAGGACTGAGTGGGGGTACCTGTTTGTCAGGCCTGTGCCTGATCACCGCCGTTTGGACCAGGACAATAAACCCACTTTCTGTAGCATTCATGCCTGGATTCCCTCCACAGCCAGGAGGGACTGGTTATGGTTTTCCTTGATGTTGATGAAACAATACTAGAATTGCCCTTCTTAACATTGCCAAGGGAATACCTAGAGGTTCTAACCTAACATCATCATGCCTTCCTAACTCCATAACACAGCCAAACCTTTGTTTCATACATGGGAAATTCTGCTCAGTACAGTAAAATATTGGAGAGAAACGCTTTTTAGTTAATAAAAAAAATTTCTGTATGCAAACCCAGGGTATTTCTGTGTTAACACTTATGGCCACCATCATCATACCAAAATAAATCCCGAAACTACTCAGGTAAAGTCAGGGTGAAGTCATGCTCACTAGCATAGGCAAATGGATAAACCATCATTACAATTGATGTCATAATGCAGAATAATGAAGCAAATACAAAGCAAGATAAATTCAATCAACTTTTAATGCCTAATCATCCTTTAGTCCAACTTTGATTTCACAATCTTGTTTAAATCTTGTAAAAAAAAAAATTAAGAACTATAAATTAAACTGTTCCTATTTTTGTTTGTGACAATTTTTAAAACCAGATAGTTTTCCCTTGACCATTTTCTTCTTTAAAATTTAATTAAATCAAATACTGATCTTGAAGCCTAGTGTTACTTTATGCTTTTGTCAAATAAACATTTTGATCCAATCAATCATATCCTTTCTAGCTTCTTCAATATAAGGTTTATCATCAGGTTTCATATCTTCTGGCTTCAACTGTGCAAACCCATGAACTTGTCCAGGATAAACTTTAATTTTATATGCGACTTTACAGTACTGTTTCAACTTCTCCTCCAGTAAGGTGATCTGTAAAAGAAAGCGTTCTTCCATTATATCATGGCTTTTTTGAAGTTTGCCAAGCTTGAAGTTTCTCATATCACTACATCTTTGTCGTCTCTCAGCTGTGACACTTGAAGCAGGTTCTGTTGCTCGACAGATAAGAAAACCCCTCTTTGGAAGGTAAGACTGAAACAATTTTTTAAAAGTATGGGTGAGCCTGAGGACCTCAACAGTTACTGCAGAAATGGTTTGGTACATCTCATTGCCATAAAGGAACGGGTACACTTCTATTCAGAGACTTAATATGGCTTGTAACCTAATTTTAAGCTCTGATCTTAAGAGAACATACTCCCTAAAGCTCAGTGACTCTCAGTCCAAAATATTTTGATAGGCTTAGTAACAGAGTTTAAGAAAACGCAGGCATTTTTTTAGTTTACTGTACAACAAAAAGACACTGCTCCTGCACAGTCTTCTGGTGGTGAGTACAGACAGGCTTACACACAGAGTACTAATCATACGATTATGTACCTGTCTGTATACATGTGTAGACACATTTTTGTGCTCATTCCATTAAAAAGTCAGAAAATAGGAGAACAAACACTTACCTTGCTCCTGCAAGCTTAATTCTACCCATTGTGCAGATTAGAGACAGTACTGTAATTTATTTCATGTTCACTTGTTTTTTTCCCACAGAGCCCTTTATTGCTCAGTGCAGCAAACAAAGTATTTGAGGATTTATTTTTTTTTTAAACACAGGAATTTTTCTTACACAATCTGCACAGGTAGCTCAGAGAGAGAGCTTCAGGAGAAAAAGGTATGGTTTCAATGTGTGACACACGACGGAAAAAATGGGTTTTATGAAAATTGTGCCCCTGGGAAAAGGACATTTTCACCATAAGAAGGGGACAGGGAGTGAAGGATTTGTTTTTCTGCACAGAGAAGACACATATTTGAGGTACAGATCAACATGCTGAATAGCACAGTTAGAAGAAGTAAATACTGATTGGCTTCTGCATTCCCAGAGCGCCCTGCCAGTTCCCCAGTTAGACCCTTCTCCCACACAACAAAGTGTGCTGGAGCTGGTATGTTATCCTTGTCGCTGAAGAGAAAGAACTTACACACAGAAGAGGGCACCAGTTTCCTACCCATGTATTTTTCCAGCCTCTCAGATACACTTACAATAGGGGTTATATCAGAGTATAGATGGCAGCCAGGGGTCAAAGCAGAATCTGCCAGCTGTCATCATCTTAGTTAAAATTCACGCCCACTCTTCTGACACGGTTCACTTTGTCTTCTTGTACCAAAAGCAATTAGTCATTGGTCCACATCAGCAGAAAGTTCCATTATTAGGCTGGAATTATTTTTTTCTATTCAAAGTCCAAATTTACTGGTTTAACTACCTGTTCACTCAACCATAGTAGTAGCCTCCAAGTTTTTGAGATGTTAGGCTCATACCAGCTGGATCTCCCTGCCCAGTTTTTCACTCTGCTTGTCCAGCCACTTAAGAGACCGATGGCTGGTCTTTACTGCATTTCTCACCGCAAAAAAAGAAGCTTTGAATAACCTAAGCAAGATATGGGGGAAGTTGAAATATAAGCAAAACAATCCAGCCTGTCTGATTTTTCATATCTGACAATGGCTCCTAACAAGCTAGGATTTCTGTGTGGGATAAAAGAGCTATGGGAAGAGAAAAAGCATTTCCAGTACAACAGCTTACCTGATCATAAGAAATAGTGTGGTCTTTCTCACCAAAAATGAAAAATGTGGGATTTAGTAAATTGTATCTTTCTTCAGAGTCCCTAATTATTCCTATAATGTTTTTGAGAAACAGTCTGTTAGTGAGGTTAACATTCTTGCAAGATCAATGGCAAATTAAAATACAACATTTCTGTTTAGGTTTACTTATTATGTACATTTTTTTTAGATCAGTAAAGTTTCTATTTGGATGGAGAAAAAAGCATTTGGAAAATATATTTCCCCACTCTCCAAGCACTAAAAAAAAAAAGATTAGAAAATTACTGTGCAAAAGGAAGCAATTTTTTTCTGGTTTACAGCACTCTTAAATTTTTATACCAATATAGCACATTGCTGCAATAACCATAATTAAAATCTGCAACTCACCTTCGAGTTGAGTATTTACAGAAATTTTTACAAAGCAATTACTAGACTTACAAACTATGCATAGTCATGTGAGCCCATGTAAGTTTTCATGTGTTCTACGCTACCATAGAGGGACACCCCAGCGGTTAATTGAGGATTTTTCAGCATCAAGTGATGTACTGCCATTCCACCCCAGGAAAACCCAACGATACCAATCTTCTTTGCACCGCATTGTTCCTTTAGATACTTCAAGACAACATCAGCTTCCCTAAGACATATAAACAAAAGTAAACTAAGGAATCTATTGCAAAATCAATACTTGACAATTTAAGAAGTAAATTAAAAGAGATACGTGACTTTTTCTGCGTCTGCACCCCAGCCATTTAAAACGGAGAATACTTAAAGAACACACTTCAGCCCAGACAAGTGGCTTCTATTCTTACATGGGAGTTAACATCTCTGGTCCTACTTTAGGGAAGAACAGGTGTAAGTAGTTAAATACTTACCTGAATTGTGACCTGCTCCTTTGTTTTCAAAAGAAGCAAATTTTTAATTGAATCACTTTGTCTAGGACAGGACAACTAAAGACAAGACATATCTGCAAGTAGAACAACACCTTGCATTATGGATTGCAGGAAGAGATAAGCTTCACTGTGCTATCTCTATGGAGTCCACCTATTTAGATAAAGATTTATCTTGAGTATGTCATTCTTGTTGCATGAGTTAATATTAAAATATCCTACCAAGCCCACATGCAATAATACTATACTAAAGTAGCAATTACTCAAAATTAAACTGTCAGTAACTATAATGTTTAAAAAAAACAGGTATTGCAAGAGGTACAATGCAAAAATATGCAAATTGCTTTTAATGTAGGCCAGAGCAGGTCATTTTTTTTTTAATTGCAAAATTATTAGGTGTCAATAACTTTATCTTTTTTATTATCTACAGAGTTTTAAATTAATTTTAAATGCAGACCACATATAATAATAACAAGTATATTTTCAAATATTATGCACATATTAGTATGGTCATCATGGGTTGGGTCAGGCTGACAAAAAAGCAGTACGAGAAAGACATGACCAGGAGATCGCGTCCTAGGCCTGTAGCCTGTGCGCTGTGAATGGATGAGCTCTCTCAGACTGTATTTGTTTGGAAGGGCACTAAGTCATGGGTATGTTGCATTCTTTGCTCTCTGAAAGAGCAATGGGTCTGACCCTGAGGGCAGCTCAAGTGAACCGTCAGAAGACCGCACAGGCATATTCTTGAGGTCTTCATTGTTTAAGACGATGCCCACATATCTGGTCACTCTTTGGAGCAGGATTTTTTACAGGTGTTAGTCATTTGTCTGTTAAAAAAAATTTGGTCACAGCTTCTGCAACTATGTGGTCAAAAGCTTTGCTGAGAGATGTTGAAGTTAGGCTGTGACTGCTGGGACCTCTTGAAAGGGTCAGAAGAATACTTGTGGCTTACAAGATGACAGCTGAGTGATAGGGTGTCACTGCCTCACTATCATCTTCTGGAATTTTAGTGTCTGGTGATAGATGCTGAAGGAACAGTAATGCCTCCCCATAATTTAGGGAAGTCTTGTTACAGGCGCTGCTAGGCTCTACAGGTAGCGGGTCCTCTATTTCACATTGAGAAAAACAGTATAGTTGATCAGACGTATCTTAGGTTTTAGGCAGTCTTGCAAATTTTGATCTAGCGCTGCTCAGGAGAATATAATCTGCACCTCTCCTTATCTACAAGGCAGAAAGCGAGATGGGCAAGTGACAACTGGCAGATAGCACAAGCACTTGTGGAAGAGTTGTCCTCATTATCTTGAGGAACTGGAGGCAGAATCAGCACTTGTGGGTGAGAGTGCTGGGTACTTCATAGCCTGTGAAACACTGGCTATGAGCCTGTGCAGCCAGCATGACACAGTTAGAAAAGGACCCAGGAAAACAAGCTGGGGACAATAAGCAGTGACGGATGGAGCAGACGATCCTTTCCAAATTCCAGCCAAGACAGTGCCTAGAACCACAGAAGAACCACCCAGAATAAGCAACTGTGTGCGTGCAGCCAGCTTGCCCTGCGGTGAGGTGCCACTTTTCTAACATTTCATACAAATTCCCCTCATTTGCCGGTTGTTCTTTAAAGTTCAAGTACACATATGCATCTTACTTGTCTACTTTCATAGGATCATGAGCTTTCATCCAGTCAGCAAAGTCAGCCCAGTGATCAGTAGTTTTCCAGGGGTCTGTCCCCTTGAAGAAGTCTGGGCAGATGGTTCTGTGTGAGACATGGAACCAAGTCAACTTTCACATCCAGGTTGGGAGAATCTGTGGGTTTCTAAATGTCTCCTAATATCTTTTCTACTCCAGAGTACCTGTCTACATGGCTACTACCTGAATCATATTCTACTCATCCTGTTCTGGCAATTAGGAGAGCTAAAAGTATATGTCTTTCTATGGGGAAAAAAAAAAACCAAGCCCACAAATAAACTGTCATTATTTCCTTAGACATACTTAATACAAAAGTAAAGGGATTAAGCAACCGATTCTATATAAACACACATATATACATATATCTTTGCTAGTAAAAGCTAAAGCAACCCTTCAAAAGGTTTGGTTCTGAAAAGCTTATACAACTTCAAGATAGATACCAATGTTTCTCTTTCAATCACTCATGCTGCCACATAAGCACAAACACTGGCACTTCTCCTTGTGGCTTTGTGCTCAAGTAGCCATTTTTGATGGGTCAATTTTAGTAGCCTTGGTGGCCTCATGGGAACATTTTGTCCCTTTGCGTTTTCATTCATTCAGACTGAAATGATATGGTTGCCCTATGGTACAGGAAACATCATATGCCATGCTTGGCTTTGTGCCTGGTGATCTATCAGTGCATTTAAGAGAAAGATAGGAAATGACAGTTGCTTACATGTATCCATGACCTGCAATCAAATCGACTATGTATCTAATGTCTGGGAACAGCCATCCAAATATATCATGAATCACGATCACAGCTTTGTCTGTGAAAAAAGATGGTCTACAGACATATGCCTTGATGTGCTCAATTTGTACTTCATGTCCAAGGCACCCATACCGAGATCTTTCTCCAGTATTGTATAGGAAAGGATCAGCCATGTGGAAACCTAAAAAACGAAGGAAAAAAAAAAGACAGAGAAAGAAAGTCCAAATGATTGCTTAACACAAAGTATTACGGGCAAATTAAGGCAAATACTATCTGCAGAAAGTAGTTTGATAATTTCTGTAAATAACATTGACATCCTTGTCTGAAAGGAGAAAGTAGAAAAAAGCAAAAGCAATGTTCGAGTGCAGAATGGCTCTTAGTCCATTATGTGTTACTAAGCTGAGAATGAAGAGAAATCCCAAAAGCAAAGTTACAAAATTACAGAAAACCTGCATGCGTGGGTCCTGATTCACATTTCTTTGGCTCCCATGCCACTCTGTCAGCACTGGGCTTCAGATGTCACTCTCTCCCCAGGCGTGGGGCCATCACTCGTGTCTTCGTGGGGAACCCCATGCTGGTTTCTCTGAATTATGTAGAGGGTAAGGACCACAGCACTCGGCAGCTACAGAAAAGCAGAGTGCTCGGTGCTTCTCCCAGTGCCGGCGCCTGCCAGCTAACCTGTGCTGCTGGCAGCAGCATCACAGCTGCTCTCAGAGCCCACGTATCGGGCGCAGTTGGTGAAGGACTGCAGTACGGACTTGTAAATTAGATTCCAATGCCTTGGGCCCATATGCCTTTGAAAAGGGATTGCAGGAAAACAAGCAGGTGTGCAAATCTCATTCAAAATATGTGAGAGTATTTGGGTCCCTTCTCCAAAAATAGCAGTTGTATACAATGAGCCAGTAGCTGTGGTAGAGAGATTAAAGTCAAAGGCTGTTCTGACTCTCTCTGTCAGGAGCTTGGAACGGACCCTGGGCAAAAAGTAGAATGTGATCCTGTAATTAAAAGTACAAGGAATCCAATTAAGTCTGCAGGGGCCGTGTTAATAGTAGCATTTCCTAGCCACGTACTGGCTTTGAAACTGTCCTCGGGGATGCAGTACACACACCCACATATACATTATGACTGTCTCCGCTTCATCATTTCTGCATCAGCCTATTATTTCTGTTTGCCTTGTAACATGTACTTCAGAGAACTATCTAGTCTTCATGGAAGCATGGCAAATTGTGGTAAAAGTGTATGCCTTCCTCAGCTCTCCATTAACCACAGCAGCGGAGCACTCGGTTTCACTGAGTAATGGGAAATTTTGCCTCGGCAATACAGACACATTTGGAACCATGGTGCAGGCAGACTGAAGAACGTAGAGTCAATGCCGCAGAGGCTCACCACTTGCTTATGCCTTACACAACACTTCCCAGCCTGCCTGACTAACACAGGCTCAATAACAGCATCCAAATTTTACATGCATTTAGATTGCCTTATACCCAAGACAATCAGCCTTCCCTATGTATAGTGCAGAGACACTGTTCTTCCTCATCCTCTCCCCACCCTGGGGCTGCTGTCACCAGATCTGGCAGGGCTAGCACTGAGTTTGAGCAAATATGCTTGATTACAACCGCAACCCCTGGCTGATAGAGTGTGGTGTAGAGATAGTACAGATACAGGAACTGGGCAAATGTGGCTTTACTGCTAGAATCAAGCTGCTTCAGAAATAGCCATGAGGTGGATGATCTCACATCGTGATTAATCCCCTGTGCTGATAACTGAGAGCTGATTACACTTGTTCTCCCACCTTTCTCAACACCTATATGTCCGGGTCGGTGCTAGGAAGCATAAGGTAGCCTGATCTTCAAGCCTAAAACCTCCATTGTTTTGGCATTGTATGAAAGCACAAGTGGTGACACGCATAGGAGGCTATCTCCTAGTTTAAGCCCCCCCATGACAGGCCGGAATATGCTTGAGAGATGTCTGTTTATGCAAAAGTACTTCCTACCTCTTTTTTTTAACCTGAGATGAATGAGCTTGTTGAAGTGCAAGAGACCGCCTGGAGAATTCCCAGGCACTCCCAAAGACAGCTAACACCACCGGCTTCTGAGATGGCAGCCACGGTCTTACCCCACTAAGGTCTTTTGTTCAGAAGGGCACAACCTATGGTGTTCCCTTCAAGGAAGTCATGTTTAGGAGGCATTAAGCTTTGCCATAGTTGTGAAACAGCTTACTGCCTATCTGTTGGCTGCTTCTCAGAAATCATTTCTTTGGCTTATCTTGATTGATGCCTAGACAGCTGGCTCTCTTCCAGGCACCAGGCTACGGAGAACGTTAGTAAATAGTCAGCCACACCTGAACTGCTTAGAAGTCTTTGATGGGATCCTGTTCAGTCAGAAGCTTTATTTGTTCCCACCCAATTTGTCCCACGCAACATGGTGTGGCAAAGCAACAAGCCAGGATATTTCCTACCTGTCCTGTCTCACCTCATTCCCTCTTCCCACCAACTTCATCCA